AGCGAACCAGATATAGGGTGCATCATGAAGTCGTATTTACTCTCGTGGCATCTAAAGACTCTAGGGGAAAAAGCTTACCTCCATCATTTGGGTTAAACAAGAGACAGGTTTTATATAATATTGATTGGTAACAGTGAGTCGTTCTTAAACTCAAGTCCTTGAGCATATTTGGCCTTAATTAAGGAGTTAGTCTTCTAAATACTGAAGGGATTCTACTCGTGACCATCTGAAGCAGTGTGCCAAAACCACGCATCCAGTTTGCAAACTGTCAATGATAAAGGACAAAACAAGCCGTTGGCCGCCTCGAGAAAGTTTATGTACTTCATTGCTACTAGTATGTGCATCGGGTTAGGGAGGACCCTGCTGAGCAGCTCTTGTGGAAATGACGCAAGCTGGTTTCCTGGCTTTGGCCTCGGGAAAATGTTAGCAACATTATAAAAATATTGCCTCTGTTGCCTTATTGCCTTCCAAATGTCCTGTTAAATAAAGAGTTGCCCCATGCAGTCACACCATGCTGTTCCTTTTCCCTCCTGGAGGGTGGTCCTAGTGGAATGGGGTATGGACCTACATAATTATAGCTTGTTTCTGCTTAAGTGAGGAATATTACCTCTTGTAAATGCACATACTGAGAAGATATCTTACCTGTAATTAAATTGTAGAACTATACAATATTTTAAAAATCAGAAACTAATACTTTGACCATGAAGGGCAGCTCTAATTTCTACAGCTTGCTGGTCTTTTTTAAGGAGGCACAGACTTGTGTGCCTTTCTGGAAGTTCCCTGCATTAGCTGAAAGCCCAGTGTCACTGTGGCCAGCAGTGACTGGTGTAGGGAGCTGAGAAAATAGGCAGATTATATCACTGGTCAGCTGCCACGGATCCTTGGGAAAGATGTGCGATGACTCAATAGGCAAATGCCATCTAATACTTCCTGAAAAGGTGAGTCAATAGATTTCCCAAACTCAACTCCAATGCACTGAAGTTCTTCCTACTTGCCGAGTGGATCTTGCTGGCCACTTGGGGATTAGAAAACGTGGATATAATCAAAATACACCAGGATGTGTAGTTTTTCTGTTTAGCAGCACAGTTTTCAGGACAGAAATGATGGGGAGGGGTCTTCTGATTAGGTACAGAGTGGGGCAGAGGGCAGGCCCCCACCAATCGGCAGAGGCTATACCAAACCTGGACTGTGATGGAGAACACGCCCCTCTTGCTGGACTTTCATCTGGAGAGCTGACCCAGTGGACTTTACCATTTTAGTTGCAATAAGAGATAAGGTTTAAAAAAGAAATAGGGCATGTGCTTATCATAGCCAACTTAGAAAAGACTAAAAATGGGGGCAAATTGACCAAGCATCCTGAGTTTTCTCACCTAAGATTTGTCAATTTTGTCTATTTTACAGGGGGGGAAATTATAAACAAAGTAAACCTTCCCTTTCTGACCCTGTACAAACTCACCCTGAATTAAACCCTCATTAATTGCAATACCAGGCCCACCTCAGCCCCGCCATCAACTACACTCGCTCCCTGTCTTCAGTTTCTTTTCCTACAGTAAACGCACCTATGTTCTTTCCACATCCCAAAGAACATAGCCTACTCCCACCCCTCCATCTTTCCTTCAAACAAGCATACTGAGTGGCTGCCCATACTAGACCTAGTTCTCTAGTTGTTTCTCATCGATCCCTTCACCTGGTACAATGGGGCTAAATAGCCTTTCACTTTTTAAATCCACTTTTTTTTTGCCTTTAAAAAAAATTTATTCATTTTAGACAAATAAGACAGTAGATTATGTTTTGACATATTATACACACATGGAGTATAATTCTGACCATTTACTTCCTAATGTCAAATACTACAAACACCTACCAGTCCCCCATCTCTCTGGGCCTTTCTGCTACTTTTAACTCCATTCTCTATTCCCTGAATCGAGAATCTGTATTCTCCAGGTTTTCTTAATGTCTGCTTCTCTGGCTAACTCTGATGACTCCTTTCATGTGACAACCCCAGGCCATCCTTCTCTGCCCCTAAGTAAAATTCCTCAATGGCTCCAAGGCCTTTAGGACCTAAGCATAATCTTTAGTTTATATACCCCCCCCCCCCCCCCCCCCCCGCAAGGCATGGTCCACTCTCCAGTTGGTTTACTCCTCACCATTTGCAAAAATCTAAAAATTCCACTATCATAAAAATATGACATTATAGTAAGACTATAAATATATGTATATTATTAATGTATAATAGTATACATTATAATATATCTGAAAAACATTGACACATGTTCATCAGATAAATAATTGAATAAATTACACAATGGAGTATTATGTAGTCATTAAAAACCCTGTTGATACTTATACAATGTCAAGCATAAAACAAGACATACTGCTTAACAGTATGCTCTCGATAATTCAAGAGAAAAAAAATTCATTGACAAGACTACAAAGAAACACAACAAAGTGCAATAGTGCCTCTAAAGTGGCCTTTCCCCCCTTTATAACTTTTCTATATTTTTTCTATACTTTGATATTTTTAAAAATATTTTTTAGTTGTAGTTGGACACAATACCTTTACTTATTTATTTTTATGTGGTGCTGAGGATCGAACCCAGGGCCTCGCACGTGCTAGGCAAGTGCTCTACCGCTGAGCCACAATCCTAGCCCTATACTGATATATTTCTATAAGCTTCAATAAGGATACTTTGATAATAAATTGAAAACCAAAATCAGAAAATAAAACAAATGTTCTAAATTTAGGATTAAGGAATATAAAACTGAGATTATTATTGTTTCCTGGTTTTCACATCTTCCTTTTCCATACATTTGTATAATTCTTTTGGGGGTGGGTACCAGGGATTGAACCACTGAGCCACATCCCCAGCCCTTCTTTATATTTTATTTAGATATAGGGTCTTACTAAGTTGCTTAGAGCCTCACTAAATTGCTGGGGTTGACTTTGAACTTTAGATCCTCCTGTTTCAGCTTCCTGGGCTGCTGAGACTACAGGCATGCACCACTGCAGCTGGCTGCATAATTCTTTAGTTTACCAAGCACTTCTCATATAGTACTTGGTATGATTTCCCTTTCAGCTCTGAAGTATGCATGAGATAGGTGGGCTCTTGGAGAGACTGACTAGACCTTGGTAATGGAGACCCAGATCTTCAAGCATAATTAACCATGCTTGTCTCTTTCACTAGATGAATAAAAGCTCCAGTGTATATCTGTATCAGATCAAGTAGGACAAAAACACAAATGTCACCAGATTCAAACACAATGTACCCACAACTGATTTATAGTTAGATTGTTTAACCAAAAGGAACCACTCTGAACTCCAAATAATAAATGGTTGACATGAGATCTGACTTTCACAAAAGCTTGCCTGAGAACCTGTACATTTCTTCCCAGGAAAATTATATATATTGTCAAGAGCTCAACCCTGGGCAGATGACTTGTCTCAAGAGGTATGAGGCACCTGTGCCCTGCTTTTAGAGTGTGATACCTCTGCTCTCCTTTAATAAATTTTTGCTTGTGCCTTGCTTTTGATACATCCTGAAATTCTTTTCAGCAGCTGTCAGGAACCTGTCTCGGTTGAATCGAGGTCCCACTGCCTCCTCGAAGGGACCTCCTCAGACTCCTGTCAGTGACAATCAAAGGCAATGGCATTAAACTCCATTGTATCTATCAGGAAAATAAGGCACAGGATGATCAAGTGTCCTGGGCACGGTCATTTAATGGATTAGTTAAGTCCAGCAGCCCAGTTCTAGATTGCATGTTGAATTTATTTCCTATTGCTATAATAGCATTTAATACAAATTATTTTAAAAATACATAATAATGCACAGTTCTGTAGATCAGAAGTTCAACCCCAGTCCCATCAACACTTTCCTTCTGGAGGGATGGATTCATTTCCTGGCAGGCCTATGCAAGTTGGCAGAGTCCAATTCCATGTGGCTAAAGGACTGACCTTCCACATTACCTAACTCATGATCCCTTTGAAGAGAAGGGTCTCTTCTTGGGAGACCCTTGGGACTCCTGGCTTCCTCTTCTACTTTCGATGGCTCATATGATTACATTGCCCATTGGATAATTTACCTGGCTAATCACCCTATTTTAGGGTTAGCTGATTAATGAACTTATTTAAATCTGAAAAGTCCCTCACAACAGTACCTACATTGGTATTGGGTTGAATTACCAGGGGACTATGATGCTGGGGGAGGGGAGGCATTTTTAGAATTTTTGCCTACCATGTATATTTTAGAAGTTTAGTTCATGTTGTTATTTTTTTCTTCATTTCTCTGAAGGATGTGTGTGTATGGCTTTCATCTATTCCTTGTTAGAAGTTAGCTATTCATAAAAAAATATTAAGAAAAATGACCATGGTTTTTCATTTGTGTCTTCTCTTTAATTATAGATCCAGTTGGGTATAATAACATATGCCTGTAATCCCAGAGACTTGGGAGGCTGAGGCAGGAGTTCACAAGTTCACAGCCAGTCTTGCAACTTAGTGAAGCCCTAAACAACTTGGAGAGGCCCTGTCTCAAAATAAAAAATAAAAATGGCCATGGATGTAGCTAAGTGGTAGAGCACCCCTAGGTTTAATCCTCATACCACACACACAAAAAAATTTTTATTTATATATTTATCTCCTCTACGTAAAATGATTTCCAAAGCAACTCATGTATTTAGTAACATAGTAATACAACATAACTCTATAAAGAAAGTGAAATAAATGAGGGTACAGCATATCAGAGGCTCCAGGTCAAAAGTACCCATAGGCTTCTATCCCCAATGATCATCAAGATCATTAAAAAATTTCAGTTCTGTACCAAAGACCATCCAAACACAAAATGCAAAATAGTTTTCTGTAAGCAAAGAAATACTTCTTACATTAATCACATGGCTGATAAGTCTTATTACAGAACTTTTTTCATTTGGGTAAGAGATATTGCAATAATTTGTGACCTTTGGACGAAGCTGTTTAGGACATCTAAAATGAAAACCAGTAAAACAGCTTAGAGTCAAAAAGTTTAATTTTATTACAATGTTTTTAAAGTTAGCTATGATCTAGACAAATACTATGGGTAAGTCTATACCAACTCCAAGGTACAAAAGACAATAAATATAGACTCATATTCAGCCTAAAAACAAGATTCTAAATCTAATTTAGATTAGGTAGCGTAGTTTAGTTTCAATATTTAAAATCCATGTATAATTCTTAAGATGCTAGAAGAACTCATATATAATAGTTATTGCTCACTGACAAACAACCAGCAGTTCTTTGCTGACAATATACAAGTGTACAGCACATTCAAGCCCCCACACGAGTCCGAGGCCTGCTGGTGCTAGAGGACTGGGGATGGTGCCGTGATGGCACTGGTCCTTCTGGGAGGAGGACTGGTACAGAACAGTGCCAAAAATGCCCACTAAACTGGACAGGAAGCCGATTTCACAAAAGCTCAAGGAATGGTCCTCTTTCTTGCAGAAAACGAGATTGTCACTGTGTCTTCCTGAATGTTCCGTGGAACAGCTGGGCCCAGCACAGTATGGTCTGCTGACTTAGAAGCTCCATTTCCTCATGATGAGTGTCCCCCACTAGCAGTGAATTCTTCAATCCTTCATTTTCTTCCAGAGCACATTCTTCATTGCTTTCAAGCTACATTGTCATTAAAATAAGTCTTGTAAAATTTCTGCCAAAAACAGCTGTATTATTTCTTCTTGGTGATAATTAAGACTAATTCTTCATTAACTAAAATTCTGTTAAGTTTCAGGCCAAGCTCCTTTGTCTTGGTTTAATTCTCGGGTACAGCTGTAAGAAAGTTTAAAAAATATTTACATACTGTACATAGGTATGAGAGCAGAGTGAAACTTCATGAAACACTGGGAAGAGGGGCAGAAATATGACAGGAAAAAAAATCAAACTAAGCAGAGGTACCCAAGTGCACAAGGTTCACATTTAGCAATGTTCTCATCAGCCACTCCATGAAAGACATCAAAGGTCACAAGGGTCCATCAACTGTGACAATATCACAAAGCAATAAAAACCTTCAGCAGCTCTAGGCATTAACTCAATCTGCAATTTACTGAACTGTAAATGAAGTCAGGAAGACAAACTGCTGATGACAGTTTGCAATATGCTACTTACTCCAACATTTAGAGTTTTCATTACTATGGAAGAAAGATGAGAGATTAAAATCTCTTTTAATTTGATTCACAGTGGACATAACATTGTGTGATGGAACTTGAGACTGTCAAGAACAAAATGCCACAAAGTCTGAAGATGTAAGAAAGGCTAAGTGGAGTGTGGTTTTTGTGTTTTCCAAAACAAAAGCTGAGAGGCAAAGGCTGCAAAGTACTGTCTTGAAGTCCAGAGCAAGTTCAACTAGTGATTCAACTAACAAACTAAACAAAAACCCTTCTCTCTGAAACAACAGAAAAACAGGTTTACTTGAAGAGATTCAGACTTCCAGCCCAAACTGAAAAACTGATGGGTCACTATTATTTAAGGATTATCATTCTTCTTTAGGAAAAGATATTCAATCAACATAATTTTCTAGACTCAGGCTGAGCCTCTGATTTAAAAAGTCAACTTTTACATACTTTCCTTTTTTAAAAAACATCAAAAATATTGTGCAGAGGACACTTGTATCTAAATTTGGAACTAAAATGAAAATCTTTAGTCAGGTCAGCTAATTTTAGAACCTTCTGAAGCTCTATAGAAGGCTCAACTTTGAACAACTGCTTCATACTTGGTAACAAATTCTCCCCCAACACACAGGATCTTTCTGATAAAACTGCTTTTAAAGAAAAAAAAGTTTATTCTCACTGCACACACCAAAAATGCTAATGACATGAGGTAAGTAATGCATGCTATTTTGATTTAACCATTCCACAATGTATACATATTTTTAAAGACCGTGTTATTAAATATATACAATCATTTGTCAATTTAAAGAAAAGAAAGAATATTAAAACAGAAGTTTAATAAGCACTTAGTTCTAAGTAGCACTTTTCCCAGATAAGAAACTACAATATGTAAACTGTGCTTATTCACTGTTGATGTTTTATTAGGCAAAGTAGCCATATGCAAGAGATTGACTTCTCTGGTGCTAAAGACTTTATAGAAGCGAATGTGAGTGCATGAAAGAGAACAGCTTTCTATTTTTACTTTCCTTTGGTAATTTGAAAGCTTTTTTTTTTAACACAGCTCCACAGTCTGATTTTTTTTTATTTTCATTATTCTTTATAATCTATATTATGATCACAAAAATAAATGCCACCTAAACCAACAAAATTTTATTTCATAGTAAATGCAGCCCTGGGAAGGCAGCAGTCCAGGTCTATCAAGTCATTTATATTGCACATTAAACAGGCAACACTGGGAAGGAACAGTCAGGAGAGGGACAGTGGTCAGAATCCAGAGAGCCAGGTCCCAGCAATAGAGTCATTTCAAGGAACTTCACTGAAAGTAATATCCCAGTTGTAGAATACTTGAGACAGAATCCTGCTCATGGCCTGGATGCCAGAGTAGGAGATTCAATGCAGGTAGAGACCATGTTTCTCTGACACTTGATGAAAATGCCTACAACAGTATCTCCCATTGCTCTATATTAGACTCCTGCATGATCCTCACAACAATCTTAGGAGGTAAGCTTCTCCGGCATCCCGACCTTCCTTCCACCACTCAGTTACCCAGATAATAAGTGCTCCAGGTAGACCTGAAGTGATGTTGAAGCCAGGGCTGGTGATCTACATGCCATATGCTGTTTACCACTAGTCGCTCTTTCTTCCCTCAAGTCTTTGCTACTTTCTCATCAAAAGCAGATTTTTCAAGCATTTTTACCTTTAAACTTTATTCAATCTCTCAATTATCCTCCTCATTTTTCTTTCATACACCCCACATATACCCTGTGCAAATATAACCATGTGAGAGTATACCTGAATCTGTGAGAGATCAATGCAAAGTTTTGAAGCATATCATTCTTGTTTTCTCTGGCAAAATTATAAATATGCTCCTGAGCATAAATAAATCATCAAAACTGTGGCTATAAGTCAAAATATAAGACTATCTGAAATTTAAAATTCCACGTGTAATTAACAAAGGGCAGTACGGTACACTGTATTCACAACAGTTTTTACAAAGTCCCTCTATGACACTCATAAAAACATCATGAAGTACTGGAATAACTTACTCCTAGCAAGTTGCGTGGAACGTATCCCTCCTTATCATTAAGGCGTGCCCACCACCATTCAATTTCATCTTCGTCCTCCCTACGGATGATGGTCATGCAGTCTCCTTCTTTCATGGGCAGTTCATCATCATTCTGAGGCTCATAATCCCAAAGTGCATAAATGACTCCTTTATTCATTATGCCCATTTTCTCCTGAACTCCTATGATTGTGACAGAAAGACACAGCAAGGACATATCACTCAGAGTATACCATTCTGAAGAACTTTTCTCTATAATGAAACAAAATGGCAAGAAATAGGCACAGGATGGAGTGTTAGAACTACTACATTAAATAGTTAATAAATAATTCTGCAAGGTCAGTGCAAAGAATGGGCCAGTGGCATTTATAAAAGATAAAAAAATAATCAGTTTTCATATCTAAAATAGCTTTAAAACCTAGCACTTTATAAGTATCTCTCAAAACTGGTCTTACTCAGAAAACAAAAACTTTTGCCAGCCCAGGAACTAAAAAAAGAATTGCTTGAGCCCAGGCTATTAAAAAAGTAAATGATATGCTTGTCAACTTTTGACCTATTTCTAAGTGTAAGGACTAAGGAACTATGAATACATCATTCATTCTTCATTACCTAAAACACAGAGCAGACAGAGAAAAAGATCAGAAATGCTTATTAAGGTGGTCTTTATCAATTCCCAAATGGGAAAAGAAAATACATTAGAAAGCAGAAATGTGGCACTTCAGACATGACATAAAAGTCTACAGTCAACTCCAAAATAACAAAAATCAGAATTCTGAAAGATGTTGAAATTCCATAAACTGGGGAGGGAAAAATCCTCAACACCCCACTTTTCACCAGTTCAAAATCAATTTGCAAATTAAATTTTGTCTTTCTCCATTTATCCTATATATTCCTATCCTAAAGGGCAACACTAATAAATAATTACTATCAAACAGTAGGTAATAGAAGAAGAAAGAAAACTGAAAAAGAAGGTTCTTAGCAATTCAGTTAATTATTATTTTTTAATTTAATTATTTTATTTTAATTATTATTTTTACAGTCGGGAAAATATCTGCTTGCTTTTGAATAGATTGTGAGCACTGCACTACTAATTACAAACTTAATATTTCTTATTAATTAATGTGTCGTAAAATACAGTATCTCTCTTCTGGGAAGAAATGAATCAAGAAATTAAACTGTTCCTTTCCACACAAGGCTTTTGCCAATATAAAGGGACAGGTAAATTTCCAACTTTTGCCTATTTAAATAAGACATATAAAGTACAACAATAAAACTTGATGTATCTATAACCTCACGAAGTTTTAAAGTTGGTCAGGTGTGTAAACTGTTTGGGACAGGGATGACAAAGAGGTAAGAGAGAAATTCCAGATATTTTAATATGCTCATAATAACAGCCTAAGTCCCAGTTTCTAAGAAATCATTCATGGAAAAAAATTTCTCGTTACTTTGCTATTATGAGATTAAGAGTTACAAAAATTTACAAAATTTTTGAGGGGCCTCAAAACAAGCTCAACGTCATTGATAACTTTGGAAATGCAAACTAAAGCCACTATGAAATCCCATTCCAAATCCATCAAGGGTCATAAGATGTGGGGCAAAAGGAACCTTCCACTAGATGTGTGCCACTATAACCTGGTAGTTCCATTTGTAAATATAAACCAGAAAACAAATATGGAAAACAGGAAGGAAGGAGCTGAGGGTGTACTTCAGTGACAGGGGCTGTGCTTAGCATGCACAAGGCCCTGGGTTCAATCCCGAGCACCAAAACAAATAAACAAATTTAAAAATACATTTTTTTTTAAAAATGAAGGAAGGAGCCCACATGTCCTTCAAAAGTAGAATGGAAAGTTAAGCTGAGATTTAGTCATAAAAAAGAATAGTATGACACAATGAAAATAAACATAATACACAAGTGAATCTCAAAAACATAAAATGTTTAAAGAAAAAAGAAGCCTAGAGAATCACCAACACAATTTATTTTAAATTTTAAAAAAAGAATAGGCAAAACTAAAAACAATACTTAATAGGTTTCACACACAAAAATATATAACTATTTTTAAAAACAAGGAATGGTGAACTTCCAGAGTGTTTACCACAGGTGTGCGGGGAGCCACATCAAGGCAGTCCAGATGATGTCAGAAAGTGTTCATGTTCTGTTTTCCTAGGTCAGGAACACAGTTATCCACTATGTTCAACCCATTAGTGACCTAAACACTCATGGTATCCATGATATATTTAATAAATTTTTTTAAATCCCTGACCAAATGTCCCTAATGTTTGTAAAAAGCATATATAGTCCTGATGGCCAATAAAATGAATACAGCAAAATACATGTTAAGATACTATAATAATTTTAAAATAATGTCAATAAATCAAAATATCCTATGGCTCAGAGTTCAAAACATAAACAAAAAGTAATCTGAGTATCAACAATAAAAATTAAGGCAGGTGCAATAATGCATTCCTATAATCTCAGTAACTTGGGAGGCTGAGGTAGTAGGATCACAAGTTTGAGGCCAGCCTCAGTAATTTAGGAAGATGCTTATCTCAAAATGAAAACTATAAAGTGCTGTGGATGTAGCTCAGTGGTATAGCACCCTTGAGTTCAATCCCCATTACTATATACACACATCCCCCAAAACACCCTAACAGTTTAGGGGCTGGGGATGTGGCTCACTGATACAGCACTTGTAAGAATGAATGAGGCCCTGGGTTGGATCCCCAGTACAGAAAAGGGAGGAAATAGGGAGAGGAGAGAGAGAAAACAAACTAACAATTAAGGTCTAGGGTTCTCACTGACCCCTCTTCCTTCTCATGGAAAGCCTGAAAATAGACAAAAACACCAAGAGAAAGTCATCAAGCAGAGATGAAAGACATATGTCTTTAAACTCATGGGTCTCTCAATCAACAGGTAATGCTGCTTCTGAGTGTCTGCATAGTATGGAGTCCCGAGACTCTTTATTTTTCTGTTTTCCCTCCTTTCCACCTCCTCTTAAGTCATAAAGAGAAAAATTAACCTCAACTATGAAGCCTTGTAAAGTAAAAAAATTTTCCTTGTAAGTAAAAATGGCATGCATCTAAAACTTCAAGTCCATTTTTCTCTAGGTGCAGATCTGATGTTAGCAATTAGACTCAAACTCAAAATCAAGAAAACAAAACAAAGCCCCAAAATATGTGTTGCCTTTATTTAATGACAAGTTTAATTTGCAGGAAAACATAGGTTATTTGGAATCTTGTGTCAATGCTGTTTTTCTTATGATCATCTTGGAAGAATGAGGTTCTGTTCACTTATTTGCAAAGACATGCTAGCACTTGGTAAATGTTAAAGCCTTAATGGGGGTCTTTTGATGGTCAAAAGCCCTTTAATACCACTAGATCTTCTAGAAGCTGCATCACTGTCTTGGGTTGCTGAAGATTTCCCTGACAATAGTTGTTTCCAGGAATACACACAGAAGCTGTATTATTTGTGACCCAGTCTGTTCTATTTTCAGCGCCCAAGACAATGTAAAACACAAGAGACTTTCCTAAAATAAAAATACTTATTGAATTAAACCCCAGAGATAGACAGGTAAGTGAATGCAGTAATCAACACATTGATTCCACTGGCTACATACCATAAAGAAACTGAGAGCACTGTGTGTAGCCCTCCTCCATCTCCTCACACTTATCTGCGGCAGTCTGCATGTCACTGTAGGTCATGGCGAACACAGCTGCTCCTGACTCCACCAAAAACTTACACACCTGAACATTGTTACATGAGGCAGCACAATGCAATGGAGTCCTGTGAATAAGACACAGCAAGGGCTAAAAATGTGTTTTTCTCTTTTTTTTTTGGGGGGGGGGAGGGGTATTGGGGATTAAACTCAGGGGTACTCAACCACTGAACCACATCCCTAGTCCTATTTTGTATTTTATTTAGAGACAGGGTCTCACTGAGTTGCTTAGTGCCTTGCAGTTGCTGAGGCTGGCTTTGAACTTGCAATTCTCCTGTCTCAGCCTCCCAAGCCACTGTGATTATAGGGATGCACCACCACGCCCAGCCTAAAAACATGTTTCTAATTTGAAAGACACCTGCTCTGATAAGACACCTGTAAGAAAATTTCTTGAGTTTCTCATCTACCAAACCCTTTCTTCTGAAAAACTGAAACAGTTTTAAGGTCTGCAGATATAGCTCAGCTGGTAGAGTGCTTGCCTAGCATGCATAAAGTCCTGGGTTCAATCCCCAGCACCATTTAAAAAAAAAAAAAAAAAGATTTTTTAGCTGGGCATAGTGGCACATGCCTATAATCCCTACAGCTCAGGAACCTGAGGCAGGAGGATCATGAGTTCATAAGCCAGCCTCAGCAACAACTGAGGCATTAAGCAACTCAGTGAGACCCTGTCTCTAAATAAAATACAAAATAGGCCTAGGGATGTGGTTCAATGGTCGAGTTTTTAAAAGCCAGTACAACACAGATGACTGAACTCACCAAAGAATTATACCCGCAAAGGAAAACACCAGACTAATGAACCACAGCTAAGCTAGGAGCCAAGCAAAGAGTGAACAAAATCAAGAAAACATTCCATACAGTAATCTAACAAGAACAAGATAAAATGATTTCCTTCCATGTCTGGATCCCCAACTCTGGTTATTTCTGTCAAAGTAAAAGACCTACCAATCCTTAAATTATAGGCCTTCATGCAAAACATGTGCCTTTAAATATCCCTTTATCATCACCAATTTTGAAGGAACCAAGTTGTATATAAGCTACCTTTATAGTATTTTTTAAAACTCAAGTAAATTTTAATTGAAAATACTTGTCAATTCAATTCAGACTAGAAAAATGACCATAAAACATTTCAATCTATTTTAACTAAGTGGTTAACAAGAACTTATCAATACCATTCAAGAGAATTTTTTCCCAGCATCTCAAAATGTTTTATGAAATATGATAAATTATCTTGAGTTAGCAGTAAAGGTTTAAGAGCTGGTACCATTGACCAAACTGAAATTGGGTTTGAGAATGTTAACTGGGTTCTGAAGTACATAAGGTTTAATTTCTTTACCCTTACCTCTCCCCTCTGTTTTATTTTATTGGGATACCCCCCACTCTCTCTTTTAATATTTTTAGTTATAGATGGATACAATACCTTTATTTATTTATTCTTATGTGATTCTGAGGATCAAACCCAGTGCTTCACATGTGTCAGGCAATCACTCTGCCACTAAGCTATAGCCCCAGCCCAGGATATATCATTTTTAAAAAGAAAAAAAAAATTATTTTCTGTCCCCCATTCCAGAATACTATTAACAATTTGGTGAATGTTACTACAATTTGGTGAATGTTACTAAGACTTTTCACTTGCATGGTTTTTTAATAATGAAAAATTATATGTAATCTAAACTCCCTAAATTTGGGAAACAAGGGATATTATAACATCGTAAAAAATTTGTTTTGCTTAAGCTACAATACTAAACCAAAACATTAGGCAAAAATATTATGTATAAAAAATACATGTTATGATTTTAACAACTTCTTTCTTTTTTTGTACTGGGGATCGAACCCAAGGGCACTTAACCACTAAGCCACATCCCCAGCCCTTTCTATATTTTATTTAGAGATAGGGTCTTGCTAAATTGCTTAGAGTCTCACTAAATTGTCAAAGCTGGCCTGAAGCTGGCCTTGAACTTTCGATCTTCCTGCCTCAGCCTCCCAAGCTGCAGTGATTACAGGTGTGCACCACCATGCCCGGCAGGTCTTAACTACATTTTTTTTAAAGTATATAAAAAATAGTTTGAGGGCTGGGCAAGGTAGGTAGAATGTATGCTTAAGATGCATGAGGTTGCAGGTTCAATCTCCAGCACCATCACCAACAACAAAAGAAGCTTAAAGGAAATATATTGAAATATTAATGGTGTTTATTTGCAGACTGCAGAGGTGCAGACAGCTTATTTTCCTCTTCTCATTTCTCTATTTTGTATATTTCCCACAGTGGGCACATATTTTTATATCATTCTTTTAAAAAATGCAACCAAAATGCTTCTCCAAGTATTATTTATAACATTAATGACAAAAAAAAAATTGCAAAACAATTTAAATGTCTAACAAGAGGAAGACAATCATAATAAATGAACACATGGTTACTTAAATCTCTTAATGGAATGATCTGAACCTAATTCAAATTTATATATATGTTCTGCATGCAATTTATACATGCATACTTAATACCATAAGCACACATGTATAAATTATATCTGCCTGCGCGCGCGCGCACACACACACACACACACACACACATATATTAGTTGTTGTTGGCCTTTTATTTTATTTATTTATATTTGGTGCTGAGAATCGAACCCAGTGTCTCACAAATGCTAGGCAAGCACTCTTCCACTGAGCTATAAATCACTCCAGCCCCATAAATTACTTTTTCATAATAACTTGTTTTTGACATTAAAAGTCTTTAAAACTAAAATGCTACAGTAAATATGGGATGATGTAACCTCTTAAAATCTTTTGTGATATTTCTTATCTTGATTATTTATTAAACTTTTAAAAACCCCATCTGCTTCCATTATTGGAATGAGATGACTGTTAATAAGGACATGCTTATTCCTCAAAAATAGCACATTTCTCCAGCAAATGACAATCAGCTATACAATATTGAGGAATGTAATTTTTGCCTTCCAACAGCACTAAAACAGTGCTTTTACCCCCAACTGTAGTTTGGAGTTTAAAGGAAAAATCTTACCATCCATCACTATCAGCAGCATTTACATTTACACCAAACTGTACCAGGAACTTAACGATTTCTGTGTGGCCTGCACATACAGCATTGTGGAGAGCTGTGATGCCTTCATCATTGGGCAGGCTAGGGTCATCAACCTGTAACGTCAACAAGAGGGAAGCATCACTCCAATGTATCTTGTCACGCTAACTGGCTCCTCAGGGTCAAGAGAACAGAAATAGACTTCTATGGGATTTTTTTTAAAATCCTAATTAAAACCTACAGGAGCCAAGAAATCTGTATTAAGAACAATTCTAGAAAAAAGAATAGCCACATAAGTAGGCACAGCACTCACTATAAAGTTTTTAAAAAAAACTGAAGAAGTACCAGAAACTATATCCTTATAGTCATTTTTGTTTATTTATAGTCCTAACTTCCCACCACAAATTAGTTTCTAAGTAGAAGCTACATTTGCTATGGAAAGAAAAAAAAAAGTGAACTAAAAATATTTTAAATAGTAGGCTTCTGAAAAGTAGGAACATCAGTAATTTAATACCATACAGTAAAAATACATACATAATCAATTTTAAAGGAGAATAATGATCTCCCCAAGAAAGAAAAAGTACCCTAGAGAAAACAAGTGAAAATTGAACTTCTGCATTATCAAAATTTTAGTCATGCTTTTAAAACAGAATAGGCTATTTTAGAGCATACACTCAAAAGTTCTTCCCCAGAGCCCCAGTCTCAAAAAGGAAATTTAAAAATACGATTTCTCCATTGTAGCTTTCTATTTTGAGCTTTAAAACAAGTCACATTTAGGAAATTACTAATTATAGCCATACCTCATAAATAATTCTCTGTACAAGGTCAAACTCTCCCTCCAAAGATGAATCTAGGAGTAAAGCAAGAGGGTTGAATTTCACCCTCATTCCATGAGCAATCCTCTCTGAGCCAGTTTTACGTAAGTTTGTCCTTTTGCCCTGCAAAGGAAATGCATGGAAAATTAAGCAAGATACCACCACCAAAAGGGTAGAATGAGCTCAGCTGTATATGCATATATAAATATAAGCACATTTTATTCAAATATAACATTATTATTCAGGAAAGTACACCAATCAATATATATAGCTAAATAATTTTTCACAAAGTGTGAACACCTATGCAATAAAGTGGGAGGAACTTAACTATAAAACCTAATGGAAGCACATCTGTAAATATAACATGAACTCATAAACTAAGCACATAATCTGAAGACGGTGACTTTCTTCAAGTTTCAAAACTAGCCAAGATTGGTCTCTTAATAGAGTACATCAAGACCCACACCCTTCAATTAGCAACAATGCAGCTCAGAAATATAATTGCTAACATATACTTATATAAAAGGAAACTAAGGCACACAGCGAGCAAACAGCAGAGCTGGAATTCAAATCCAGGTAAGTTGGTTTTGCTGCAACCCTTCCCTTTTGTGTGTGTGTGTGTGTGTGTGTGGTGCTGGGGATTGAACCTAGGGGCTTGTGCATTCAAGGCAAGCACTCTACCAACTGAGCTATATCCCCAGCCCAAAACCCTTCCTCTTAATCATTTCATACCATAATGCCTCCTCAGGCAAAAGCCTATTAGTAAGCTAAATAATAAAGATTAATAGTTATTATACATACCAAGGAGGAATCCTACAAGTCTTAAAATATTTTAATAAGGATATTTTTTTAAAAAGGCATTTTAAAGACAAAAACCTAACATTCTGTAAAATAGGTTCCTTAAGCACATCCAACAAAGTGGAAATGTTTCCTCAGGTGTGATAAATATACTATACATACTTCTCTTTCATTTTATCTCAGATGTGGAAAACCACTGAGTTTTGAAAAACATAGGAGGCAAACGCTGTAACTCTCAAAAGTGTAATGGATAAATGTTGTTCTTTAAAATAAGTGTCACCAATATGACTTTGTAAATACCCTTCGTAAGTTGCACATTGCAAGTAGCTAGCTACCCACTTTTAAAGAATGGACAATACAGCAATATCTACTTCACTTAAAACAAGAAGAAAAGGGTAAGTCCCTTTCCTAGGAAGAAAATAACAATCTTCAAAAGAAGTATGATACTTTTACAAACTTTGGTTTCCTTTCTCTTTCTCAAAAATGTGAATTATACTGACACAACAACAATAAGGAGAGACATGACAAAAAGCTGGAGTATGGGTTGGTTGAGCTTCAGTCTGGCTTAAATTTCCTCTTCCTTTTCTCACATTTAAAGCTCAAATGAGAATTGAGTCTTAGAAGTTTGAAGGTATAGGGTTGTTTAAAAAATGTTAACTTTTAATTTTTTATAACTTTTTTCTCCTAACCTCTATAGTAATAAAAAAAGTTTACTACATTACATGTTTAAGCAAATATTTATTGTAAAGTAACTTTTGACAAAGCTTATCTTTGAATGCTATCACAGCTAAAAGAAATAATAAGGGATCAAACATAAAGAACACTTACAAAAAATCATTTTTAAATGCTATTTTGCTTTTAACCACATTTAAATTTATGGCTCAGCATCCTATTTCTTCTGTGCAAACAAAATGACTTCCAATTAAACTATGAAAAAGAAAACTTTATTTAGACTTTTCTGGAACTGTTATTCTCTCTCACCTACTTCAAAGTGACAAGAAAACTTCCAAACAAAAGCTTAATATTTGGAAGGCATTTCTAAGCCAAAACAGAGTTTTAGAATAGCTTAAAAGAACCTAAGGATTCTGGTGTTTGTCAGGTTCTTAAACTATACTGAAAGAGAGAAAAAAGCTAAAGAGGTGGCCACCCACCCTCTCAGTTTCCTCACTTCATACAACCCTTCCAATCTTTTACTTTTAAGATGGAGGTTTTATCTAACATTTCATTAAAATTTTTTTTCACTGCCAAAAAAATAAAAGTTTGAATGAGTGATACTATAATGAGAAAGTTATACTGTCTGCCAGATCTCACAGAGCTAAGCCAGTGATCAAATTCAAATTTAGGTCTTTCCAGTCCAGTGTTTCTTCCCTAATATATGGTATCAGCTACAGGAGAAATAGCATATGTGGTATCTGCAGGGATAAAAAAAAAAAAAAAACAAAACTGTTTCCTTCACAAAGAAACAGGTTCTAAGACATTAAAATGTTCTTTATTCTTAACATATTGCATTTTGATAAGATCCATTCTGTACTAAGGGATTATAAAATTAAAAGGCAAACTGAAGAAAAATACAACCACCTAGAAGAGAGTGACAAGGTAAGACTCCCAAAATGGTCATGAGACACCACATTACTCACAGGAGGCAGAGAGACCTGCCCAGTGATCTCAGGTGGGCGCATGCTCACAGAGTCTTCTCCAGGCCCTTCGGGCTCCCCAGATGGGTAGGGCGGAGGTGGGTATGGGGGGTACTCCTCCAGATACACTTCAAGCAGATGGGGAGCCTCTGGGTTTGGTTCCTCCGCATTATTCTGGAGATTTGGGCTGCTGTCTGTGACTCCTTCAGGCACATAATCAAGGGCAGGGGAAGGAGATGGCATGTCACTGTTCTCTGTATTAGCACTCCCCACATCATCTGGGGATAATGCCTCAGGAACCAAAGAGACCACCTCCTTCTCTGGTTCCACATGTAAATATGGATTCGGAATTTCTGTGGGGCTTTCTGAGCCGGCAGTCACTGAGGTGGATGATTTAGATGGGTATGATGGGACAGAGATGGTCTCCATTGCAGCTATTGTGGTCCTCTGATACAAAAGTTTCTGAATATTTGGTCCATTAGGACCCTCTGGCTCTGTAATAGAGCTGCGTTTCTTTAGTGGTCTGGGTGCATTAGACAGTTTCTTTCGTAGGGCTTCTAAGTCAGCATCACTCTGGTTTCGGTAAGGATTAGATAAGAAAGGCAGTAATTTGGTTGGGCTGAGTGGTCGAGGAATTCTTTCATTTTCATGGTTCTCCTGAACTGAAGAAACAGGTTCTGTTTCAGGTTCAGGACTGCCAGGCTTGCCCTGGCTGTTGGAATAAATGTTCTCTGGATGCTGCTGTGGATTTTGGGCAGTGGCAATCACAGGCTTGCCATATACTAATGGAAAAGGAAAAAAATAAAAATCCTGGTTACTATTAATCACACAGAACTGGCAAGTAACAAATAACAAGTAGGCCGCTTTTAATTTCACAGTTACATTATATTCTCTCAAGCACAACTAATTTCTTTAAAGAACAAAAGACAAAACAAGGGTTTCATCTTTGCATAATAAACCTATTATAGAATCAAAATCCCCATTAACTATAACATGGACCATTATTTTACAAAACAGTAAGAAAGAAAATATGGCCAATTATAAGAAATCACTGACTGGCAGTCAAACCTAAAATATCAAAATGTGAAAAAAACTTAGAACCGATGAAAATCAGTAATCCTCTGTCCAAACTAACTCTAAACATATAATACCCCATCTTTCAAAAATGAACCAATGTGAAACATCATACTTACCTTAAAAAATTATTAAAGAACCACTGTGTTTACCAAAGATATTGCCCCTTTAACATACTATCAAATTTAGTTAATTCCCAAATTATCACATTAGCAGTCATCAACAAAGATTCATGATAAGAGTAAGACATAGCATATATACAGATTTTTGGCTAATTTTTGTTAGGACATCTTAGGCCACAATTACATGCTTATTTCATGACTAGAAAGCCATTTGCAATTAATTAAAACATGGTCAATTTTATTCTAGTCCTATAAATAATGATTTAGAAAGAATAAACAAATGTCCAGCTTGTGTACGTTTAACACAAACTATCTTATTTTGTTTTTATTAGGTTTATTTCCTTTTGGTACGGGGGTCTTGAATATGCTAGGCAAGGATTCTACAACTGAGCTACACTTCCAGTCCTTGTTATCTTTTTATATTTCATTAGTGGTGTGTCCTCATAAAAATAACTTTAAATACAGTAGTGTTTTTTAAAAACACAGTGTACGGGCTGGGGTTGTGGCACAGTGATAGGGCACTTCCCTAACCTATGTGAGGCACTGGGTTCAATTCTCAGCACCACATATAAATAAAATTAAGGTCCACTGACAACTAAACAATAAAAATAAAAAATTTTAAAAACAGGGTAGTTGTGTCATCTTCAATCCACCAAAAGCATGTAGCCAGAGCTACAGTGAAGACACAACTTTCTGCATGCTCTCTCCTGTGTGTATATATCTCCCACTCTCCTCTGAGCTCCTTTAGAACTAGGACTGCCCCTCTCATCTTCAGTGCCTAGTGCAGTAACTGACATATAGCAGTCACTCTGTTAAAACTCCCAATTAACAGTAGGAAACACAATTACAACTCAGAACACCAGAGTCAGTCAAAATAGAGACCAGTTATTTTACTGTATGCTGACAACTGGCAGCTCTGGTGGAGGATGTAAGCACAACATCTATGCAAGTGAAAATAAGACCAAGAACCTTACCACTTGCAAAGTGTGGGCCTCTGGTATGCGTCTTGGTCAGTGCACTCTGCACAGCCTGTTGGAAGTTTTTTCCTGGAGCCTGATGCTGTGTATACATGGAATATATAGAGCTGGCTGCCACAGTCTGAGGTTTTCTGAAGGCTGGAAGAAGGGTATCTTTGGAAGGCTGGGGAGTGAAGGGCCGGACGGCTGCAGCAGGTGGACTTTCTTGCTTAGATCCTGGAGAAAGGGTTTGATCTTGGCCAATTGAAGGTACGTTGGGAGACAGCAGCACCCTTGGCTGCTGCCCTGCTGGTTTGGGTTTACTCCCCATGGATGTAACAGCTGTTGGCAATTGTTGAGGATTTCCATCTGGCTTAATGTCAGAAGGTGATTGATTGGTTTGTCCAAAATAAGGCAAATTGATCTGTTTTGGTTTTGTAGGAACAGGAGGTGGTACTTTCACCGCATTTTTATTTGCAGTCTGTAATGTGCACACACACACACAGCCAGTTAAAACATTGTAATAGCTGAGTACATATGATATTCTAGATAATCTAACTTTAGAAATATAAACATACACTGTAAAAATATTAACTCTACGTTTTAAAATCATTAAAAAGTTTTAAATCTGTATTTGATCATATTTAATAAGGGACCTAGAAATACACTCCCACTCTCCATGACTTCCTTCTTATTTGGGCAACTGTAAGTGCCCACCTGAAAACTCTTACTTACCACCTTTCATATTCATAGGCTGAACCAAAAAATTAGTCATTCTTGTTCATAAGAACTACCTGCAATCTATGCTATTGTGGTTAAACAACACCCAACTTGCAGCATTCACCAATAACCTGCTTATCCAAGGTTAAGACCTATGGGGTTGCAGCAGATTCACCATAAAAGCACTTGATATAACCTCAGTTCCAAATTTCAAAGAAAGATACTTGAATTAAAAAAAAAAAAAAAAATGGTGTTCTTCAACACAATTATGATTTTATAAAGAATTACACAAAATATGACCCAAAAGTACATGTCAGCCATCCTACAATATACAGGGAGATCACAAATAATTCAAGCAATAGAATTTAAAAACCAGCATGCTCTATTTTAATACATTTTATTTCTTCTGCTTTCTCCTTCTTAAAAAACATGTTATAGAATTACCATTAAGTTTTAAAAAAACAGAACATTCCTAAGTACCTGAGCATCCCACAAGATATCTTCACTGCTCTGGTTTTTCCTCAGTGTGCCAAAGGGGGGTGGGGCAGCACACTGGTCCACTGTGTCAAACATTGAGAAAGGACGCACTTTCTTCTCTTTTTCCCTCAGTGGAACTTCCCCATCATCAGCTGAAGACAGAAAAAATACATGGTGATCTTCAAACTGTTAGCAATAAATGTGCTAATAAGTATCTATTGCCTAGATTTCTGTGAAATTCTATACCCACTAAATGCTTTCCTATTTTAAGTTGATAGAAGAATAAACTGAACACTACAATGATAGTATCTTGGTTTCTCAGTTAAATGATGGTATCTGGAAATAAACTAATTACTGTTAAAAGTGTCCCTTCTCACAATGCTAGAAAATGAACCACCTAGGAAAAAACACAGTACCTTTGACATGACCAAAACATAATGTTCAAGAGCAACAGAAATAAACTTTCTACAACTCTTTCATTTTTTTCCTTCCATTACAAAACTCTGGCATGCACCTCCCCAGGTATCTGGGGACTACACAGAATGCAAAGATTATTAATACAAGAAGATTATTAATGCTAGTTTTACTTTTAACCAGCATGTTTACCTTGGTCCAGGGCATTCCCAGCACTTTGAGGTACAGAAGAGCCTTGGCTCAGGAAAAGATCTGCATTTGAAGGGCTCCAATCAGGGCCAGCTGAATGGATTTTAGAGCCTAGAATGTACAAAAGCAACTACAAATAACTCCACATTCTAAAAACACTTTTACTGCTATGAGTTTTAATCTCTAAAAACACCTTTAAATTCCAGACTCAAAACATTCCAGTAAATTTCTTCAGATAGTATTGCATTAGACTTTATATTTCTAATTTGAGCTTTTCCCACCTTACTCAAGCAATTTAAAATTAGTTACAGCAAATAAACAGTCTACTTGAATCAGCAAGGACTCATTATTTTTTAATGAGGTAAGAAAACATCATCATCACTGAGAAGCCAATTTCCAATCCAGCAACATAAATTCACCTTATAGGCAATATCTTAAGTGATTTGTGCACAACAGAAAGGCAAAAATATGGACTTTTAACCAATGACTTCAACCAGTTTTTCTCAAATCAGTGTATTCAAGTTCCTCTACACTGACTGGCATCTAAATTTCAAATGCCATGGCTTTTATTGTTTCTTATAGAAACAAAACAAAATAAATATAACTCTTCCTACAATAAAATCCAGAGTACCTGGCACTATTGCTTCATAGCAGTAATTACGGCAAAATAATCAATAATTATAGATACTGTTTGCATATAACAAAGGTTAGAGGAAAATAAAAGACAACACTGGTTATTGCTTTTTGCTTCCATGTATCTGAATGATAAAGATGAAGGATGTTTTTAATCCTACTTCCAACAACTCTGTTCATTTTTTCCTTTCATTATAAAACTCTGGCTTGTACCTCCCATGTGTCATAAGAACTACACAGAATGCAAAGATTACTAAAGCAAGGAGTCTTGTTATTTTTATTTTTGAACTCCCACTGTGTTTACCTTCTAAAAACTATCAGCAGGCAAATACCCATGCAAAAGCACATATGGACATCTAACACCATTCACCAAGAGAATGAATTCACAATCTCAAATTCTATAAAGATGACAATAGCATTTTTATATATGATAGTTTGCCTTGAAAAAAAAAAGTTCTTGAGTTATTAACATCTGATCAAAATTTCCTCAGTAACATGAAGGAACTTCCCAAAACAATTCTAGATGTTATTTTATTTCATTTCCTGAATAGAACTATATTGTTTATGGTTTAAAAAAAAAAAACGTACTGTACTAGAAAAGAATACAAAGGGATTTTCAAACACGAACAAGGATATAGACAATTCTTTTTTTAAAACTTTGGAAAAACAAGAGTGGTGATGGGGAAGAGCTAAGTTGTGTAAGAACTTGGAAATCATCCACTTTTACCTTTAGTTTGTGACGAGGTCCCAGATCTCATATTGGGCAGCGTCTGTATCTTCATTGGCCCCTCTGAAGCCTGCATGGCCAAGGAACCATCAGGAAGGGCTGGCTTCACAAGCAGTTCAGGCCTTGAGGGCATCCGTGGCATGGTAGAGGACTGGATGTATGGACCTACTGCAGCCACTCGACTCGGGGCTGACACCGCTTGCTGAGGAAGATTTCCGTCAGATGAAACCTTAAGGAAAAAAGCACAGGCGTTTCAGTATTAGTATCACATGGATCAAACTCAGAAAAAGCTGTGGAATTTTCCTAGTTTTTCTAAACGAGCACTCTCAGAATTTGGCCATAGAGTCTACAAGAATGTCATAAACAAAAATACTCCACAATGAACTATCACCACATTTTATTAGAAGTATTAGCGGGAAAAGCAAGATACACAGGTAAAAATGTTAAAAAGTAAAAAAGCAACGGATTATCTTTTAGGAATCCAAGAATACCATCTCTTTTCTGAGGACACACTGTGGAATGATTCCGAAGAAGTTGCTTATGAAAAACTGACCTCTCTTGCCTGGTCATCTTTCTCCTCCTCCCCCAGCCCACGTCCCAACAGCCACTCACTGGTAGATTTTCTTTCTGCTGCAGTGCTGCCTTCTTCTTCCACAGCCGGTCCCTCAGCTCATTAACACGCTTATCCATGACTGCCACTTCTGAGTTGCGCTTATTCAAACACTCCCTCTGTTGTTGCAGCTTGGCATTCTGCTCTTGATTCAATTTGTTCCTTAACTGAATAAAACACAGAGGAAAAATACAGACAGACAAGGAATAGAAGAAAATTTCTCCAACAGGTAATCACATGGTTAACTATTATATAATTTCTAAAAATGTAAGGTCCTCCACTTCATCTCCTGGTTTAAAATTAAGTGACATCTGTGCTAGACCACTGGCTGTGGTTATGCCTCAAGTTTCCTGTCTGAGGTACCATAAAGTTTATTCTGGATTCTTTGGGGTTTAGGTCCCCCTCCTCCCCTGACTTAAGGAAAGCAGCTAAAATCTAACACTTCCTGCCACTTCTATAGACAACTCTGTTTCTGGAAAGGAGCTCATACTGCATTTAGTAAGCAGCTATGGTGTACCTGCAGTTCCTTGTAGAGGCGATCCAGCTCAGCCACAGCTGACTGGTTGTCATGGTGGCCGTCAATCCTGCCACTCTTGAGCATCTCCAGCTGCCTTGTAAGTTCCTCTACTTTTGACACTGCTAGAACGAGTTCCCTCTGTTTTTGCTGGAACAGACTGTTCATTTGTTCAATTTCCTCCACTAGGTAGAGAACAATAATCAGAGTTGAAAAGAAAAAGAATGGACAACTTCCCAGGCAATCAGTCTTTACAATAAATTTTGTAACAGTAAGTAATCTTTCAAAATGCCCTAAAATCAACCTATTTCTTTTCGAAAGCCACCAAAATCAACACAGACAACTCTAAAAGGTCTATGCTTCTATCTCAGTGCAGACATTTGTAGAATTTGCAGACTTCAGGACTTTTATTCTCAACTTCGTAATAGTAGATGAAGCTACTGGACCACAAACATTTTAATTAAAATTGTATAGTAATAGATAGAGCTTTTATATAAATAAAATTCCTGATCTTCAACAAATTATTTTTTTTTCATCAAATTCTTAGTCAAGAAATAAAGAAAAAAATTACCATATTTTCCAGAGGTAATTTAAAAACTTTATTGATAACATCCAGTGCTGGATTCAATTGAGAGGAGCTTGCAATATCAAAACTGAAGTGAATTATGCTTTAAAAAAAAAATTTCCTTTTAAGGTTATCTACAAAGATTCATTTACTACAAATGTAAGTAAACTTTTTACACCAAATTGATTTCTTACGCTGAAACAGCTTAACATGTAGCCTTTGGTATTAAAGCAAACCTACTGTAAACAACTCACCAAGTTTCCCATTGCTTAGCCTCTTCTGTTCCACGTGGCCTTTAAGTGCTCTCACTTTTTTTAGCTTGGCTTCCTGACTCTCAGCTATTTCTTTTAGCCTCTTTAGTTTCTCCTGCTCCGCAGCTTGTTGCTGTTGACGCTGATCTTGTTGTTTTAAAAACTTCAAGCGCTGTTCCTAAAGATGATTAAAAAAAAAAACAACAATCAGGCATATCATTTTAAACAGGTATGCCACTAACTTCAAAATCATCTAACCACAATCCTTGGATGCTGAGATTAAGGTGTACCTATAACACTGTTCTACCCTTACTATGTAAACTATATGCTGCCATCAAAATCACCCTGGAGGTTTGTTCAACACGGACACTCTTGAACCCACCTCAGAATCTCTAAAAACAACATTTTTTAACCAAGTGGCTCTAATATAGCAAACAAGCAGTAATCTTTGAACTAGTTTTCATAAAGTTTTGTTACAACTTTAAGAAGAAACTCATGCTGAATGGGAAGGCAGTTAAATGCACAGAATGGGAAAGCAGTTAAATGCACAGGATGTGGATTTGAGTTTAGATTCAAACCCAAGCTTAGCCATATTACCTGGGCAAATTATATAGCTTCACCAAGAAAACAAATCTGTTTCTTTCTTTATATAATGGATATGATAGATAGTAACTAGTTACTGTACTGAGGATTAAATGAAATAGAAAATGTACATTTTTTGACAATTGCCTTGAAGAATCCCTGGCTAGCTGGGCACAACAGCACATGCCTATAATGCCAGCACTTTAGGAGGCTAAAGAAGAAAAATTACAAGGCTAGTTTGGGCAACTTGCAAGACCTTGTTCTGAATAAAAAAACAAAAAGGGCATAGATGTGTATCAGTGGTAGAGCACCCCTGGATTCAATCCCTAGCACTGCAAAAGCAAAGAAAAAATTCCTGACCAGGGCTGGGGATATAGCACAGTGGTAGAGAGCTTGCCTACCATGTGCAAGGCGCTGCATTCAAATCCTGCACTTCGGGGAGAAAAAAAATCCTTATTACTTCAAAGCCTACTAGGTAACCTTTCATGTCAAACTACCAACTATCTACTTCAGTCACTGAAAGACTCGCTGGCTAAGGATACTGAGTGTTTAGACCAGGGGTTTGCAAACTACAGCCTGATGGCCAAATTCAGTTGCTATTTTTGTAAGTGAAATTTTACTGGAACACAGCCACACCCATTTGTGGCTGCTTGAATAGCAAAGTTGAGTAACTAGTACAGAGGCAGCCATAGCTTACAAAGCCTAAGATATTTAACTATGTAGCTCTTTTTTTTTTCTTTTTGGGTATCAGGGATTGAACTCCAGGGCACTCGAACTCTGAGCCATGTCCCCAGCCTTATTTTGTATTTTCATTAGAGACAGGGTCTCACTAAGTTGCTTAGCACCTTGCTTTTGCTGAGGCTGGCTTTGAACTTGTGATCCTCCTGCCTCAGCCTCCCTAGCCGCTGGGATTACAGGCATGTACCACCGCACCTGGCTTAACTATATAGCTCTTTAACAAGAAAAGTTTGATGGTATCTGGTTTAGACTAGAAGCCTACGCAGGAGAAGCAACAGTGAAAATGGTTTTGATGGTAATGAAGAAACTTCTTAAAATAATTTTCCTCATTCAAGGACAGGACTAAGATTAGTTTGTGGGTAATGTCCCCAAATTAAGGAAGCAGTCTCTTATTGGTGCCAAGCAGCATAAGGGGACAGTGTCAGCATCTGTAAAACTTACTCCTGCTACAGGCCAGGTTAGATCCTAGTGGCAAGGTGAAAAGCTCTTTATGACTTTCCTATGTTACTGAAACCCACACAAGATGGTTAACTTTGATCAAAATTAGGGATTAGGAAGATCTTTAATAACAGGGATGACACAAAGACTTCTGCAAAATGAAACACTTTGGATTTAACAGACCACAAGCAGCTTTTCATACACATTAACAATAGTAACCTATTAGATCTTTGAAAATAAGACATTACCTTCGTAGCCAGCATTTGTTGCTGAGCCTCAATCTGTTGCTGCTGTCGAGATGCCATTTCTTGAAGTTCAGCAAGAGTCAGGTCCATTCTAGGACTATGAACCTACAAATACATACAATCCAAATTACTATTAGATGATCACAAAGAGTCCTCCCCAAACATCTATTTATAAGCTTCATCTGAACCAATCATGACAATATCAGTTAGCCACTTTTTTCATAATGTTAAACAGACCATTAATTTTTACATTCATATTCACCACAATGACTTAAGATGTAAGGCATACTAATATACATACCAACAATCTTTTAAGTTAGGAAAATAAATGGAAAAATTTAGAATTACTTGTTCTATAGTTAATTTATATTAGGATTGTAATGTTTGCTCATTTTAAACACAGTACTGGGACAATGGCAGCAAACCTAGAATACAATCATCAGAACATCACTTAAAAATATATTAGCACTAAAAAAAATCCAAGATACAATGGGTTATCACTAGGTATCACTAGGTTATCTTTAGGTAACCTATCATGTCAAACTACCAACTGTTTGGTAGTTGGAAATCCACTCTCTATTCAACACTACCCTATAGTATCTAGCCAGTGCAATAAAAATGAGAAATAAACCGAATCCTGATTGGTAAGGAAGAAGTTTAACTGCTTTTACTGACAGACAATATTGAAAAAATTTAAATATCATTTACAGTAACTTCAAAATGAAGTATACAGGGATACATTTAACAGATGTACAAGACTTAAACAATCTTAAACAATAAAAAATTTCAACGCACTGCTGAAAGACCTAAAAAAATGGATATACATGTTTATAAACTGAAACATTCAGTATTATCAATATGGCAATTCTTTACAATTTTTTTTTCTTTGCTATACTGGAGACTGATCCCAGGAATACTCTACCACTGACCTATATCTCCAAACTTTTGTACTTTTTATTCTGAGGCAGAGTCTCCCTAAGTTCCCCAGGCTGGCCTTGAATTTGAACTTGCAATCCTCCTGCCTCAGCATCCATAGTTACTGGGTTTTATAGATGCATATAACTGTGCCTGGCCCCAAACTGATCTTTAGAGCAACCGAATTCCAATCCACATGCCAGCAAGCATTTTTGTAAAAGTTGATAAACTGATTCTAAAATTCATATGGAAGTGCAAAGTACCTAGGATAGCCAAAACAAATTGGTAAGTAGGTTGGAGAACTTACACTACCCAATTTGAATACTTATGAAGTACCAATAACCAATACAGTGTAGAACTAATGTCAAGACAGACAAGTAAATCAATGAAACAAATACAAAGAACAAAACAGAACCACAAATTCCTGGGGCAACTGATAAAGGTCCAAAAGCAAATAAGAAAGGCTTTTCAAAAAATATTGCTTGTACAACTGAATATCCATATGCAAAAAGCAAATGAACACTGATGCTCATTCAAATATTAATTTTAAAGTGATAATAGATTTAAACATGAAACCTAAAAGTACAAAACTTCTAGAAGAAAACAAAAGAAAAATAACTGTAACCTTGCTTAGGTAAAGAGTAGGTACAACATCAAAAGTATGCTCCATTAAAAAAAAAAAAAAAAAAAAAAAAAAAGCCAGGCACTTTGGTAGGCCTATAATCCCAGCAGCTCAGGAGGCTGAGGCAGGGGGATCGCAAGTCCAAAGCCATCCTCAGCAATTTAGCAAGGCCCTAAGCAACTTAGCAAGGCCCTGTCTCAAAATAAAACATAACAATGGCTGGGCATGTGGCTTGGAAGCACCCCTGGGTTCAATTCCTGCTACAAAAAAAAGAAAGGAAATCAACTGTACTTCACCAAAATTAAGAACTTCTGTTCTTCAACAAGGCACTGGGAGTTTTTTTGTTGTTGTTGTTTGTTTAAAAAAAAAAAAAGACAAACCACCATGCTGGCATGCCTCTGCCATCCCAGTTACTTGGGAAGCTAAAGTGGGAGGATCATTTAAATCCAGAGTTCAAGACTAGCCTGGGCAATAGCATAAGATCCCACCCCAGCCTCAAAAGCGGGACAGGAGGGCACAAATATCTGGGTTTGATCAGCAAGCAGCACTGTGAGGAGTGGGGAGAGGGAGGACAAGTCACTTGCTGGAAAAAAAAAATTGAAAACCAAACATCTGATAAAAATTTTGGATCTAGACTATAAAGAACTCTCAAACTCAACAAGAATGTAAACAACTCAATAAGGAAAACAAATGAATAAAAGAGTTTAACAAATATTTCATCAAAGAAGATCTAAGGAGGGCAAATAAGCATATGAAAATATGCCCAAAATCATTATTCTTTAGAGAAATATAAATTAAAACCACAATGCAATACTATTACACATATATTAGAATGGTTAAAATTAAAAAGACTGATGATACCATTGGTTGGAATGTAACAAAATACAATCACTTTTGAGAACAATTTGGCACTTTCTTAGAAAGTTAATATACACCTACTATACGATTAACTATTCCACTAAGTATTTATTCAAAAGAATTAAAAGCATTTGTCACATAAAGACTTATACCCAAATATTCACAGCAGCTTCATGTAAAATAGCCCAAAACTGGAACAATCCAAAAGGGTAAAAGAATTGTGCTATATCCAGACAACAGAATACCACCTCTCAGCAAGAAAGAGGAATTAACTATTGCTACATGCAACAATGTGAATAAACCTAAATTATGCTGAGTGAAATAAAAAAGAGTAGATACCAGATGATTCCATTTGATAAAATTAATTTGTAGTGACAATAAACTGACCCACTAAAATTTCTTGAAGACTGAGATGGAAGCATAAGGAATGAATTATAAAAAGATATGAAGAAACTTTTGGGGGTGCTGGATACTTTCATTATCATCATTCTAGTGATGGCTTCATAGGTAATATGTATGCCACAACTTAAATTATGCACTTTTTTCAGCAGTACTGGGGACTGAATCTGGCGTCTAACGCATCAAATTGTACACTTCAAATATGTGCAGTTTATTGCGTGTCAATTATACTTTAACAGAGTTTTAAAATAATTTTTACATAATCTACATTCTAATGTAAATTTGCTATAAAGTGGAGAAAGGTAATTTTAGCTAATCCCTAATGGAATTAAAATTTTTGAGCTCTAAAAAGAAACATCTTCCAGGTATACTGAGATACTCGCTTAAATTCATAAACAATAGCCAGAGCATTCTCATAAATTTTCTACTTTTCCAAAAGTGATTTTTAGCAACAAAAAAAAAAAAATCAAAGGAAAAAAATACTTCCTTGAACTTGTTCTGCATTTATTTTGTTACAAATTTACAATATATTCAGCATCTAACTTATATGATAGCCATGTAGAAATCATTAAAAATTTCCATAAAATTTAAAATAACCTTTAAAAAGGCCCATTCTTAACCACTATTAACAAAGTAACAGTGATTAAGATTTAAAGGTTAAAAAAGTAATACTGTTGCATATATTATTAGTATAAAAACAACCACTTACGCCATTCTCCTTTCTTCGATGTTCAGCAGGAATTTTTACACCATTTCTTTTCAGACTTGGATCCTGAGATCTTGGTCCGCTCACTAAGCACAAAATTCAAAAACTATGCATTAACACTAGTTGACAAATACTCTTTTGTCAGTATTTCATTTGAGAGTTCTGTTATTGTTGTTCTTTGATACTTAAGTTGAATGAACACTTAAAATATATTCTAATAACAATGGAGTTAAGATTTTACACCAGCCTACTTTGGAAAATCAATTACATAGAACTGTGAATAATTACTAGCACTAAGGAGTATCACACCTATTCACAAGACGAACAGTGGAAAAATAGATAAAATTAACATGCTTCAGACTATGGGTCATTCATGTCAACTGCTGATAGTTACTCATCTACTTCTCAATTTAGCTACTCAGTAGTGAAATCAAAAAGGGCTTCATTCAAAGAAATAACTAAAAATTAAACTGATCCATCTTTGTACCTTAACAGTATTTATAACTCATGTTATAAGAATGCATCATAAAAGGAAAAATAATTAATTCATGTTATAAGAAATAAGATCAAAAAAGAGAACTTTTAAATAAATTAAGCTATACCTGTAATTCCCTGAATTAGAAAAATTATTAAATTTTAAAAATTATTAAATTTTATTCCAAGAATTCACATTTCTTTGAATCAAATGTCTTTTGCCAAAAAGCTTAGCAAAAATTCTCATGTCAAAACATAAACATATTCATCCTCAGAGTCAAGTATCACACACACACATAACTCTAACATATTAGCTTTATTTTTTAAATATTGCTGATTCTCTAATGGAATAGCTCAGATAATCTATCACAATATTTCTGCAAGAAAAAATCAAATACAATTTAAGAATAATTACTTTCTTTGCTGCCTCAAAGAAGAAAGTACTTAACCAGTTTTTCCTTAACATAAGCAGTTGCGTAATTAAAGCAAGAGCTTTAAAACTAATTTCATACACATTATAAGTCATAGGTCCAAGTTCAATTGAAAAAATAATAAACAATAGCCATAAACATGGTAACAGTTTCCTTTTAATCTAGAAGTCTGGACTAAACAGGGTAAATTAACACCTTCTTACAGGAGAATGAAAAGCAATCCTGCTTTATCCCAATCTAAACACTGTGTGGCACTGGTGTTTTGCAACAAAGTGAAACATCTCTTTTATCTTCAGATTGCATGTCTCACATTACACACCATGCTGAAATTGCATATTGCACTATTGGGAGACTATTTAATAATTTACTCGGTACTACACAGCAAAATATTTCAACTGGAAGATGAACAGACAAAATTCGACTTATTAACTAGAAAAGGATGTATGTAGTAATGTAAATAAAGAATGAAAAAAATAAGATTCAAATGCCAATTAAAAAAAAAAAAAAGCTTAAAGAAAAAAACATGCATACAGATACCACTGAAAGGCACGTAAGTCAGCCTGGTCAAGGTGACTCAGGTTCCACTCCTGGCTCTGCCTCTAGGTGTGTAGTCTCTGACGTCACTTAACCCCTAAGTATCAGCACTTCTCATCCAGAGTAGAGAAGACCTAGGTCAATTCTGTGCCCTCCTCTAAATTTAATCATTTTTAATAGTCAGGTGCCATATGGACACTTATATTAAAACAACAGTCCACTAATTAACATATTACCTACATCCTTAATCCCAAGAAAATTGTCCTTAACTTTCCATTTTTGTAAATTCTACCATTTTTGGAAATACTTAGTAATCCGGCTTTTACCCATGGATTCCCACTGAGAACAGTACTGCCTGATGATCCCAGAACTGAAGCTGCTCCTTTTTCCACAAACTACAAGACCTCCAAGGTCCTAGGGATGGCCATGCCTTTAATGTCTAGGACTATTTCCAGCTCATATCTCTCTACCCAATGTATTATCTTCTACCCTCTCCTTCTTACTATCATCTGTAAACCCTGGTCACAACCCTTGGTCAGTAAGTGATCACCTGACTCCACTTTCTTTCTAGCTTCAAGTCCTGCCTTTATTCTGGAACATTCTACTACCCCAAAACTAGCCTCTCAGTTCTATAGCCAAAATTTTTTCCATTCTAATTCAGGCTCATTTCAGGGTCCAACCGGAGATGATTTCACCTAAAAGTGTTGTACCTTTGAAATTTTAAATTCAAACTTTCTACCCATCTCGATTCCTTTTACTATGCCAGCTCATTAATCAAATTGAGACTTTCGATCTCTGGGCCCCATCTACTCTTTCCCCACTGCCCCTCCTATCTTCACCTCTTCCCCACCCAGGTTAGATGTCACCTTGCCAATACCACATTCTCCCTTGTCCCATGAGCTTCCATTGAGTTTGTCTGGCAAAACCCCAAATTTGGAACAATCCAACTGTCTTTTCCTCTCGTAAACCACTTGAGTTTTAAAGTACAACTAGAGAAAAACCACACATGGTCTCAGCATCTCTCATTTCAGTGGGCCTCAGGGCTGGTTTCCCAAGTAAACACACTTTTCTCTTCTCCACAATAGCTTCAATTGCTGCCCTAGGTCCACCACTGTCACTTTCAGGTGACTTTACTTCTCATCACAGAGAAAACCCATTTTCAAGATGAGAAACCCCTTCATTTGCTCCCCCAAAATGCATAAATTTAACTGCAGCTGCCCCAGTTTTCTTTCTATTAGTGTTCAAGGGATCCTTCCTCTTGCCTAAGAGGAGTCTCTCCAGCAGCGCTGTGGAAGCACCTCCTCAGAAGTCTTACTACCAGCTACTCCATCCCTCTCAGAACTTCAACCTCCTGCTCAACTGCCTCCTTCTCATGCACCTAAAAAACAATAGTCAAATTTCTCCCACCTTCAAACAAAACCATATCCTTTTGTCTCCCCACTCACAGGTCTTAGAAAAACAGTCTATCCCCACTATTTCAACTTTCTTTTCTTTTCCCCCTTTTTTTTTTATTGGTTGTTCAAAACATTACAAAGCTCTTGACATATCATATTTCATGCATTAGATTCAAGTGGGTTATGAACTCCCATTTTTACCCCAAATAGAGATTGCAGAATCACATCGGTTACACATCCACATTTTTACATAATGTCATATTAGTACTACTGTTGTATTCTGCTACCTTTCCTATCCTCTACTATCCCTCCTCCCCTCCCCTCCCATCTTCTCTCTCTACTCCATCTACTGTAACTCATTTCTCTCCTTGTTTTTTTCCCATTCCCTCACAACCTCTTATATGTAATTTTGTGTAACAATGAGGGTCTCCTTCCATTTCCATATTTCAACTTTCTAACCTTTCCTTCATCTCTCAAATTACCTGGCTTCCCATCACGTGTCACCTCTCCCCCAGCTACTGCAATGCACAAAACACATGCTCAAATATCTGTTATGGTTCACAGAACGCTACCTACCCACGTCCCTGCCAGGGTGGCGTTCGTGACGAAGGAAGAAACGAACTTCACTTCTCTGACTTCCAAATCGTTGAAGAACATCAAACATTCTCTCATTATCAGCAACTGGACGTTCTAAAAGAAATGAGAAATCACATTTCTACAATTAAAATAAAGATAAAACATACTATATATCATTGATACAAACTATACATTACCTATATAGGAAATACTTAGCATCCTCAGACATTTTTTTCTTTCAGAAGCTCTTCGAAAATAAAGCTTCATAGATTTTCTACACTTACAATCAGTCAAGCCAAGGTGAAAGACTAGAAAGAGGAAGGTATTAAGCCAGCTATCAAGAGCTTCAGTCTAATCCAGCAAGCTCTTATTCATTGTAGCCATGCCATTTAACCTCTGTGGATTTTGAACATTTCTGTAACCTATTAGAACAGGGTCCCTCCTAACATTAATGTTTTGATTTCCTAAGTATACAAAGGTAAAATTTAGAAGCAACTTTCTAAAAAGCCTAGTCTTATTTTTTCAATTACAGTCTTTAATACAGGCTACTTCTAATTATAATTTAATGTAAAAAAGTCAGATCCATTTTCAAATAAAGGATATTCATTATGGTGAAAATATATCTATTTGGACCCTCTACTAGTGAGAATGCCAGTTTTCAGAACTTTTCTGGAAGCTTCCAGAGAACCCATCTGAGTTCAACTCAAAAAATCTTCACATCTCAGGAAAGGAAGGTGGATTAAAAAAGCAAATGCAGAGTTTGAAAAGACAACTGCTTACAAATCAATGGCAATATAATTAAATATAAGAATGCTGAAATAGCCTAAAAAACTACACACACTTATCAGTAATCAAAGACAGTATCTCAGTGCCTTAAATAAATAACATGGACAGAGAATGGGGCAGCCAAGCATTCAGCAGCCAATTTTGTGAATAAACCCTGAACTTAATCAGCCTGGTTGGAAAAAACAACATGTAGTTCTAGTTTTACTTTCAGTAATGAAACATACCGAGTTGACACAGATAATCCCCTTCTAGAAACTATATAAATTCTAAGAGGAAAACACCCACATCTGAGAAGAATGCCTCCAAAAGAAATTCTGAGTAGACTCTCCACTCTCCATCACAAAACACACACAGACACACACACACACACACACACACCCCACACACACACCTCTTAAGAAAGGAAGGAAAATCTTCAGGTCCCTAGAGCAAAGAGAGAATTCAGAGAAGTTAAATTAACTTCCAGGCCATATAGTACTGCCCTGGAGGATAAGGCCTCTTTTATGAGGTACGGGAACAAAGGTTCTGGTAGCCCTGTGACAGCAAAAGATCAGGTGCTAACCTGCCCAAACTAATAGAAACTTCAAAGGTTCTCAAAACTCCCTATGAACATCTTTCACTCTATCTCCTATCTTTGACATTTCCGCCTGTGTGACACTGGACATGCTATTCCTGACATGTCCCTGACACCCTGTTCAACAGATGGAGCACACCCATTTTGGCAGTTATTGAAATGTAATACAACTGTCATCTGATACTTCTTTCTTCTTCTGCACCATAAGACACTCAAAGGCAGAAACTTTCATCTCTGTATCTCTCAAAATTGAACATACAATAGGTATTGAAGAAATGCTCACTAATATATGAGTGAATAGTAAGAAAATGGAAAGAGAAAGAAGGAATCAAGAAGGGAGAGTAGGAGCTTTAACACTTACAGAATAAAATAATAGAATACCTTTACAAATTTGGAGTAAGAGATGTTTACTTCAAATCAAACACAAAAAAGCCTGAGATCAAGAATAGTTTTTTCCTTAAAGCCTACAATCAAGAAGGAAAGGCAAAAGCCAAAGGAATTATGAGCAAAGTATATAAAGAACCAATATGAAAAAAAGAGAAACCCAAATGGCCAATAAACAAATGAAAAGATGGGCAACCTTACTGGTAATCAGAAAAATGCAAATTTAAACCAAGGACTAGTTTTCAGCTATCAGAAAAAATTAAAATATTGTAAATGTTGATGAGGAATAATTTTGAAAATAAGTGGAAAGAATATTCATGGAGGGAAATACGGTAATATATATTTCTTTGTTAAATATGTGAACCTTTAACCCAATAATTCCACTTCTTGGTATTCACCCTAGAGAAAAACTGGCACACGATCAAAAGAGTCTATTAAAAGGATTTTCACTGCAGAGTGTATAAAAACAAGAATAAAATTAACATAAATGTTCATGAATAAAGAAACAGAGCAACTGTAGTTTATGAAAATTATGGAAAATTATGTGATAAAATAATGATATAAATTTATACATACTAATCTGAAAAGATCTTCCTGGCTATGTTATAAGGTAAAATAATATGCTAATACATATCTACAAATGCTTATTTACATTAAAAAATAGAAACAACACAAAATTATTTCTAAAGTTACTTAATAAATGCAGAAAAAGGGTCTGAAAAGCTATCTGCTAAATCCTAAGTGATTACATCAAGCGAGCAGGGAGTAGGCTTGGGAGAACAGACATCCATTCTCTCTGTTCATTTTTCTCTTCTTATAAACAGAACACAGTCAGGTGTTCTCATTAAATTGTTTTAAATTAGGGTTGGGGCTAGGGCTCTGTGGTAGAGCACTACATAGAATGCATGAGGTCCTGGGTTTCAACCCCAGCACTGCCCCCACAAAAACTCTTAAATTTTTGTTAAAAAAAAATTAATTAAAAAGTTATGAAAAAGAAGAACTTTACACATCAACATCACATAGCTATAGGTTATTCAACTCAACTGAGCAAGGCACCAGAGAAGAAAGGGAATAAGTAGGTGGAATTGAGAGCTTCCCCCAATACTTTGGAACAGAGAACACTTCTTCCCCTAAGATGTGAAGAAAAGGTGGGCACACGTTCAGATAAAATCTGATATACCGAGGAAGGATGGTTTCAATTATCTCAGTAAAGCATACAGCAAGGTTAAGGAAAAAAAAAAAAAAGGTATAAAGCAGCTGGGTGTGGTGGAGCACATCTGTAATCCCAGCAGCTCAGGAGGCTAAGGCAGAAGGATCATGAGTTCAAAGCCAGCCTCAGCAATTTAGTGAGGTCCTACGCAGACCCTGTCTCTAAATAAAATTCAAAAAGGGCTGAGTGGTTAAATACCCCTGGGTTCAATTCCCAGTATCAAAAAAAAAAAAAAAAAGAGTAATGTAAGGAGGTTAACCAAGAGCAGTTAGAACTTCATTTACTCAATTAAAATATATTTAATGTGCTCCTACTAGGTGCCATGCATTCCCCTGGAGCAGGAGAAAAAGCAAAGAATAAGATAAACCAGGTCTCTCTTCTCCAGGTAGTTGATACTCTAATATGTTTGGGGCTACAGAGATTATTAAGACAATAGACCAATACATACACACAAAAACTCAGACTGACATGAATTCTTTTTTTGGGGGGAAGAGTACCAGGGATTGAACTCAGGGGCACTCAACCACTGAGTCACATCCCTAGCCCTATGTTCTGTATTTTATTTAGAGACAGGGACTCACTCAGATGCTTAGTGCCTTGCTTTTGCGAAGGCTGGTTTTGATCTCATGATCCTCCTGCTTCAGCTTTCCATGCAGCTGGGATTACAGGCATGCGCTACCATGCCCAGCATGAATTCTTCATATTAAATTAGAATGATATAACAGAGAACTAACTTCAAGGCTATTTTAACAGGATGTTCAGGAAAAGCCCCTCAGAGGAAGTCAACATTTTAGCTGGAATCAAAATGGCCAGCAGAAGCCAGCAATGGCAAAATTGAGAGTAAGAGCAATAATGATGGTGGGCAATACAGGCACTTGGAGCCTACTGCCACTGGCTCTAAGGTGGAATGGAGTTTACCTTCAAAGAGTATTTGAAAAGCTGCACGAGGGGACAAGAAAGGAAATGGCACCAGATGACAGCAAAGACAACAAATTCATAGGTCTTTACAATCTCAAGATAGAATTTGGATTTCATTCCAAGTGGAAAAGAAGAGACTAAAGAGCTTTAAGCAGGAATATGGTTTTTAGTGGGGAGATGGGGGAGGTACTGCTGAGGATCAAATTCAGTGACTTGAACCCAAGGCCTGTTGCACACTAGACAAGTGCTCTACCACTGAGCTACACCCCGCTCCAAACTGTTATTTTAATAAGAGATCACTTGGTCTTCTTTATGCAAATTGTCTATCTGGCTTCTATGTATAGGGGAAAAAAATGTAATTCAGAGAGAGGGCAGAAAGGCTTTTAGAACATGCAAATGTAGAAAAGTCAACCAAAGATGAATAAAAGGTCCTGCCTAATAAGAAGAGATGGCTAGGATGAATTCAGAGGCCATGAATGGAACAAACTCAATTAACACAGTGTGTACCTCACTCTGAGGACACCTGGCACCCCAAATAGGAGGAAAAGAAAAACCATGAGTGTTGACCAGGACTGTGTAGGAACAAGGCAAATGAGGGAAAATTATTCCCGTGTTTACAAATTCCTATGGGGCCAAAAGAAGGAAGGATGCCCCATTTTAGAACTCCAAAGAACTACCCTGAAGGATTGATTTCAAGGCTTACAATACTGCCTACGAGATCATCACTGCATCTTGCTCTACAGTTCCTCAGCACTGAATAGCTTTCCTAAAAATGAAAGAGAGGGCAAGATAATCAAGAAGTCTCAAATGTCTAAGTAGAGCCTAAACATGCAAAAATTACTTCTGAACACCATACATTTGACCAGAACATCCCAGAAGCTTTCACCTAGCACGTCAGCCATCTGTCCTATGACCTGTTAATTTTGTACTACAGTGTCTTCATCTTACTGCAGAAAAAGAAAATTTCAAAACAAAGCTGGATGGAGAACACTACACCCAGAAGGACATGCTCTTCTACAGTTTATCTATGCATGAATGTAAGTGTTCACACAGTGCCACTCCTAGAACCCCAAAATAGTAGACAGCAGAACTAAAGCACAAAGTTGGTCTCATACCGGAGCCACACCACACTTCAGCCAAATGGCAGTCGCTCTCGCCAGGCTCTTTGCACAGATCCACCACATCTCTGCATATCGTCTCTGGAGTAACTGGAACTTCTGTGAAGTGCTGCTCATTGTTACTAAGGTACACTGTCAGAAACATCTGAAAATAGAAACACAATAGTCACCAGTACTATCTACATGGGTGGGATTCACCTTAGAGTCCTTCTCTGAACAAATCCCAGTTGGAAGCACAAATATGCAGCACAGCAGTCTGGCTGCTCCTTTGCCAAAGTAGGGTGGGGATCTGACATGGTCAACTGGATCCCCACCCTTCCACAGCAGTGCCTGCAGAACTCCTGGAACCCCAGATATAGTCAAAGCAATTCACACAAAACTTCAAATCAAATCTCTTCTGACAGTTCTATTTATACTAAATTGTTTACCCAATAATTAGATTCTGGAATGCCCCCGAACCATACTAAAAATAAATATTTTCATCAATTCTTTCAGAGTTGATTAGAAAATATCATACCTATATTTATTTATGTGCCTCTCTTAGAATATATATAATATGTGCTGCTTCTGAAGGGAAGAATAGAAAACAGAAGACAGCCAGAGGAAAATCTAATCTTCCTATTATGTGCATGTATTACCTATCCAAAAAATTTTTAAACTTAACTGTTTTAATCAAATTAAATACCTACTCTGAAGTATTAAGATTTCATTCATAAGTAGAAATGATGAGCTAATTATGCTTACCTGACCTTGTATATAAACATTCAGGCCAACAGATGATTACACTTATTAAAAATCTTTCTTCAAGCAAAAATAAACACTGTATCTTTAAAACAATGCTACTAAACAATTATTTTCATACCTACTAAATCATCACAAATTTTAAAAAAAACCCGTTAATTCCCAATGCTGAAGAAACTAAGTGAAACATCAAATAAGCTTTTGATGGCAATTAATAAACCCTATGCTCATTCAATTCCATGAGTACCTACACTTCATGAAAACCAATATGTATCAGGATTAAAAAAATATTTTTTTTGAAAGAATTATCCCATGGTGAGAATTTATCCTGTAAAAATAATTATAATCAAAGAAAGGAATGCAAAGGCTATGGAATATAAACTTGATGGGCAGGACATGGTCTTTTAAAATAATTAATGAGACTATGATAGACATTGGGGAATGTGGGGCTTTTATGACTGCAAAAAAAGAAAAAAAAAGAACAAGTAGGATCTGCAATATGCTCATAATGACACAAGGATAATATATAGCAGTCACAGCATCTGCCAACAGTCACTCAATACCCCTCTGCCACCTTAAACTTCTCTACCCATTACTGAGAACTGAGAAAGCTGTGTTAGGCGCTTCTTTATGAAATAGCAGTATCCAAGTAGGGATGATGATGAAAGAAACTATCCAAAACATCTGACTGGGGCCACAATATAAGGTAAGAATAGAAGGAGACATGTCCCAGAGAAAAGCTAACATCTGTGGGTTCGGAGCTCCTCCTTACACTAAAACCAAGTTTTCTTAAGGTGGTTTGAGTCTCCACTTTTTGTAACCAAATCTCCTCCATGCACACAAACATCTGTAACATACAAGGTAACCCAGAAAAATTAAGTAAATAGCATTACAACAAAAAATACAAAATAAAGAAGAAAAGCTAGAGACTCCCATTGTGAAAGGCTTTCATGCCAATTATCTCAGGTTTTTCACATTCTAATAAACTGTACTACATAGAGATACATAGTTCCAGGTCCTTCATTTAGCCAACAAGGCAGAACTTAAAACTGCTACACAAAAAAATCATAAACCCTTGATAATATCACTTGAAAAACTAAAGATTAACTAAGCTCACAGAATTCCACCCCTGCTGCTCCCCTGGCCAAAATACTTGGCATACCTAATGATGGAGACAAATAATTTACACATTGGTATCTAATAATACTTCTTCATACTCCCCAGCCACACCAAACTTTCTTTGAAGTTTATCACTCCAAAAATAGAAACTGTTTTCATTGTAAATATGAGACTTGAAGATGTTTATTAAATTACAGAAATACTGGACACTTAGTCCAAATACTAAACATGCTGTATAACAAATAAAAGGCTATTATGTAATATAATAGCCCCTTACCTTTGTATACTTCATCTTTCAGAGTACTTTCACACACAGTCTTGCAAACTTACATCAACTCTCAGATAAACAGAGCAGGTATTATTTTCTCTTTAGAAATGAAGAAAAAGACTGAGAGAAGTGATCTCCCTAGCTACTGAAATGAAGAGGTCAGGGTACAATTCTGTTTTTCTGATCTTTCCTCTATTCTTTTCCCTTACAGCAGGAAATATTAGCCACAGTAATTCAGACCCTAACAGACATCTGGTCTTTTACTTTTTGGAAAACAAACAGCTTCATTTATTTAAAAGTATAATTACAAATAAGAATGATGAGAGATGCCATCCTACTTAAGGGTCCATTTCCCCATAGGATTAATACTGTTATGAACAGCAAGTGCATGAGCTGACCCGATTTCTTCTTTCATGTATGACGACTAGCTCTGTAATGATTTTAGTAATTACACTGAAGTCTTCAATACAAGGCCAACAATGTGACATTTCTGTAGATTCCTAGGCAGATCTGATTCGAACCTCAAATTTGTTCATAATTTGACTGCCTCAGGGAAGTAAGATCACCTAAATAAGGCCACCACTCTGAAAGTCTTTAAGACTTTTTCAGAGTCTTTTAAGTTCCCTAATAGTTACCATTTAGTAAGTGTTTACCAGGTTTCAGGGTCAAGGCAACATTACAAGGTCTACAACAGACCCATGGGGTCTGTCCACATCTGTCCACACCTGTGGCTGCCCCCCCCCCATTATCTTTCCCATTCCCACTCTGCTCTACCAGTGTGCTTCTTGCTGTTCCACAAATATGCCAAGCATGTTCCCACCTTGGAGCTCTGCACTTGCTGTTCCTATTTGGAATGCTCTTCCCTGCATGCCAGCAGAGCTCACTTCCTTATTTGTCTCATGTCATTACACAAATGTTACCCTCTCAGTTAAGGCTTCCCTGCTTGCTTACCTAAAATTCCAGCACCACCACCACCCACACACACACATCCTAGTTCACTCTGATTTCTCTGCTTGACACAGTCACAAACATACCACGTAATTTATTTATTTAACTCATTTTTCTAATGTGTCTCCCCTACTACAGTATAAGCCCCATACAAAGGTCAAGGACTTCTTTGTTAAGTACTGGATCTTCAGCATCTAGAACTACATGACATATAATAAACACACAACATGTAAAGCCTGTAGACAGCATTGCATTTTACAGATGAAGACAATGAAGCACAAAGAGATTAAGTGACTTACCCAGGTCACATAGTCATTAAATGGCAAAGCCAAGATTCAAACCCAAGTCTGATTTCCTCCATGGCCTGAGCTCTCAACCACTATTTTATCTTACCATCCTCTTCCTTGACAGCATACAGGCAAGGACTTTTCCAAATTCAGAGCACACAGTGCTAAGTGTGTCACTGCTACTAGTTCTGTCTTTAGGGTAACATTTTTGCCCAGTACATCATCTTATCTCTTTTCATTATAAGTTTTCTTTCAGGTATTGCTAAATGGTCTAGCATACAGTCTACAGCAAAGCTATATACTCTGAAATCAGAGCATGTCCTCTAGTTTCTTCATGATATACCCTGCTAGTTATTTTGCTTCTATTCAATGTTTTTTCATTAATTTAATATTTATAAATTATCTACTGCACAGTAGATAATTTTTGCTAAACAGCTAACACAGTGGAAAATCCAAAAAGAGAGAGCTATGTGGAGGAGGGATGCAGTGAACACAGACAGAAGAGCCAGGGGAATAAACAGCCCAACCTGGCTGCTTCTATCTCATATCCCCCTCCTACTCCCCACTGAGCAAATCTGAGGTAAAGCCAGATGGCAAGGGAGCACAGATGCAGTTTATAGAAGTCATCCTCCTGAGGCACAAGGCAAGGAAGGTAGATGAAGGTGGAAAGTAAATATGGAGAAGAAAAAAAAAAAAAATCAAAAGGTCTGCACAAAAGCCCTCCTCTCTGTACTATGCAGAAAGGGCTCTTGAGCAATGTGAAACCATCTAAATGAAATCATGGCACAAGCCCTGCTAAGTTATGGGAGAATAATGCATCAAGCAGAGGGAACAAACATATAAAGGCCCTGAGAAGGGAACAAGTTTGTCACGTTTGTGGAAGAGGAAGGTCAGTGCAGAGGGAACAAGAGGAAAGGTTTACAGGCGATTAATTCAATGAGGCAAGCGGAAATCAGACCATGCAAGTCTTTATCAACCAAAGGTTCTCCAACTTTGGCAAGGACAGAGGGTTACTGAGCACAGACTGTAGGCCCCACCCTGAGAGGGTCTGATTGGGCAGGTCTGGGACAGGATCTAAGAATTCTCCATTTCTAACAAGCTTTCAGGTGCTGCTGGCACTGCTGGTCCAGAAACCATGCACTGAGAACCACTGTCTACGCCACAGCAATGAATTTGAAATTTAATATATAAGGCCACTGAAGGTAAATCATCAGAGACAGAAAGTCATTTTGTGGTTGACAGGGGCTTCAGGAAGGGGAAACAGGAATAACTGCTAATGAGCACAGGGATACTTTTTTAAAGTGATGAAAATGTTCTGGAAATAATGACAGTCACAGAACTCTGTGAATACATGAAAAGTCACTTAGTTGCATACTTCAAAATGGTGAATTTTATAACATGTGGATTATAACTCAATTTTAAAAAAGGTTACTGGAACATTTAACAATATAGTGAAGGGATTCACATCATTAAAAAAAAACACTCTGACTACTGCAGTAAGACTACAGGATGAGAGGCAGGGAAAACCAATTAAGGGGCAAATATAGCACACAGCATGAGTTAGGATGGAATCCTGGGAAGAATGAAAATATGAAAAAGGGTAAGTCTGAGTTACATTTGAAGGTTGAGCCAATAAGAATCACTTGAGGAATAAGATGCGCGATATGAAAGTAGAAATTAAAGAGAATTTGGGTTTATTGCCTAATGAGTAAAAAATGGTCCAATTTACTGATGAGGAAGGAGGAATACACCAGGAAAGGGCCCACAAGACAGGGGCCTCCA